TGTCCAGATGACCCGACTGAAAATTGTTGGGTTTTTTCCTTATGATTTCTGAGTACTCTACAGTACAGCTATCATTTCTAACCCGGGCCCAAGGTCCGACTAGGAATTTGGGCCGGGCCAAAATAATGTGCTGGATGGGCGGGCCGGGTCGGTGGCGGGCTTTTGATTGCGGACGCGCGTGGCTGACAGTCCAACTTGGATCACCAGTCATGCATGGCCGGTTGAAAGAGGTAAAAAATAAAAGTTCAGTTAAGCTTCAGCTGGACCACTGCCAGTGATCCATCAAAGCCCAACTGGACTCAGCCGTTGCATCAGTGGATGCATGTGGTCAACCCAATTGGGATCATCGGCCGCGCGCGTCCTCTGACCGTTAATAACTATATAATAACTGTAATAATCCGCTGACTCTTGTTAATAAACAAAAAAATCTTAACTTACTTTGAAATATGTTTTTAAAACTATGTCAAACTGATTGCTTACAAATGCAGTAAAAGCTTAATTAAAAAAAAAATATATATATATATATATATTTTTTTTTTTCACCGGGTTCGGACCTGTAATCAGTTAATTGGTCAGTTTCGGGTCAGGCTGGAAAAAAATGATACGGGTTTGGGCCGGGACGGATTTTTTTTAGGCCCGAATGCAACTCTACTGTACAGCCAGTTACTCCTCATTCAAATGTATTAACTGATCACTGGTAAGTGGGAACAGTTCCATAAACACAAAAGCTTTTGCAGTTTGCAGATCCGGAGCACTCAGGTGTGTTAACCAGATTTGTCAATGATTGAAAAGATCAGCAGTGATTTCACAGAAACATCTGTCGTCTAATGATGTAGAAAAGGTTCAAAGGCCATTTTCAAAAAAAATGTTGTGAGTCCAATATCTAGTGACAGATATTCCACAAGGGAAAAACATCCAAGACCTACCTAATGCTTGTAATTCATAAAGAAACAGAAAAATAAAATCAAGAGTACTGCATATGGCACATTACACGATCCATAAACAGCAATCTATAGCAATGGCCTGGACAAGCAAAAACCTTGTACATTTGACCTTGATTTGTGACCTTGACTTTAGAAATGTGACGAATAGTGTATGTCACACTCCGCCTGATATGTATGAAGTTTTGTTAAACCATCTTGAACAGAGCAGAAGTTATGGGCCGGACAAGAGCAAGTGTATGGACAGAGATTATACTGTAAAACTAATCATGAAGTACGTCTCAGACTCTACAGGCCTCAATTACTGGTTGAAATGGTGAAGTTCATGAAATTTTAAAAAGACTAAACAAGTCTGGCTAATTTTAAAGCCTGACAGGAGAACACAAGAGAACCAACCAGTGAAACGTAAGTTAGCAAAGTTGCATTTTGGACTAAAGACTTCTGGAACTGAGCTGAAAAAACCAAAATGAAAACGCTTAGAGCATCTTCAATGTCAGCTGTTTCACATGGAAGTGGCAGTGTGATGATTTTAACTTGTTTAGCAACTACAGGACATGGAACATTGACGACCAGTCAATTATCTAAACCGCTACGAGGGGAAAAATGATGTTGCAATGGTCCAGAGTCCAGACCTTGACCTGATTTAAGAACTGGCAGGAACTTTGAGAGATGTGCTTAAACCAATGACTGCCAGCTTCAATGACCTGTCTTGTACCGTTTGTTAAAAGTCCAAGCTACTGAATTGTTTTTTTGGAGACTGTCTCAGGATTTTAGCTTAGTTTTTGTTAAATAAAGAAAATCCACCTGCGTTTGTCCAACTTTAAAGACCCTTTAAAGACAAGATAAAAAAAAAAAGTTCTAATTTACACAAGTGCTTTTTTTTTTAACGACTAAATTCATTGTATTGTATATTATTTTTCAAGAACTGCTTATTGTGCATTTTACTTAATGTCATAATATAAAAACACGTCACTGATCCTCTCCCTTGTGTTTGTAGCTTACCAGTGCTCCAGCCGAGGTGGGGAGCTGGAACTCGAAGTGAGAGACGACGGAAGGATCAACATCATTGGAGAAGTCGTCACTGTGCTGCAGGGAACGATCAGAATTTAATGGGATCAAAAGGTCCTCATGTACCGGCTGAAACCGAAATAAATGAGATTCCTGCACAGATTTGTTATTCTAACAGAGAAACACCCCTCATTTAAAAAAGCAACAAAGAACACAGCACTTTTTTTTTTTTTTAGGATCAACATCATTTATTCACATTAAACTACAGAAAATCAGTCAATATCAGAAACAAATAAAATCCAGATTGGAGCAGTAAGACACAAATCAAAAGGTAGAATCGCAGCTTTCTAGTTGGAGAACCAGAGTTCACAAGAATGCACAAAAGAATAGCTGTTTATTTAAATATAAAATGATGTGTGTTCTGTGGTACAAACTCTTACAAAATGTTTTATTTAAACGTACTTCCAGTGTAATCTTGTCATTTTTGCACCGCTGATCTGGAAATAAAGTGAATTTACACCAATAGGTAAGTTACTTTAGTTTGTGCTCTTCCAGCTTTTAATTTAGTTTGAAAGAACAGAACTGTATGTGACTCAGTTCTTAACGTGAAACTCATCTGGTCTTCTGTTAAAATGCATAGCAGTCCAAACAATTTTAATGGGAGAAAATATAAACAGATATTTCTGACAGAATAGGGCTTTTGGTCTTTCATACATTACAACTAAAGCAACGTGACAGTATGTGCTTATTTACTTAGTAGAGGAGTGACATTAACTGAAGGTAGTTTAAGCTTACATACTTTCACTACTGATTACCGTGGTGAATAAAGTACCATTAATCAAACCAAAATATTTTCAGTGCATTAACAAGAGGCAACTGATTAAAAACAGTTCTTGTTGAGGTTTAATGGTTTAAATACAAACTATCATTGTAATTTATATACAGCTGTAATAAAACTAGTTTACATATTCTGAATCTACTTTGTTTCACAACATAAGATGACAAATTATTTAAAACTCAAGTATTAAAGATGTAAAAAAAAAAAAAAAAACTAACAATATGGGACAGAAAGGTTTCACATCTGGAAAAAACAAAAGCAACGGGATGAATTTTAAACGCAACTACAGCAGATGGTTATTTATGAGTCCCATTATCTTTTTAACATAAGAGGTTATTAGAAATATTTTAATTTTATGCAACAACATCAACTTTGTTCCAATGTGCTATGTTTTGTGTGCAGGTTTTAAATTATGCTGGTCTAAAAAAAAGGCCTCATACGTCCTGGTGATTCATTCTGTAATTATTATTCAGAGAAGTTTTTAACTATTTGCCCTGTTCAGACAATCCACAAAGGAACATGAACAGGCGACCTGAAACAAATCTGCGGAGTCTGACGTCTTTTAGAGGTGCATGCTGGGTAAGGCCCTGTGGGCAGCTGGTGGGAGCTGGATAATGTAAAGAAAGGGTTCAGGAAAAATCTTTTTAAATGGGCAGCACAGAAAAAAAAACAAAAAAGCTTATGAGGTACAATAGCACCTTTTAAAGAAAACTTTACTGAAACATGTTAACTTAAAGGATATCATGTTGTCCTGCTGGAGATGATTTAGTAATTTCTCTACAGGTGAGTAGCGTCGCAGCGTTGTGGCAGAGCCAACCATCAGCAGTTTGTGTTTAGCCCTAGTAATGGCCACATTCAGGCGACGCCAGTCCTTCAACAACTCCCCTAACTGTGAAACGACAGGCAGGAAGACAAAACAAATCAAGTTTACAGCCACTTCTTCAATCACGCAGACACGAGCAAAGAAAGTAAAGGAAGTTTGGGACAGAGACACTCACATTTCCTTCCTCTGCTGTGCTTCTGACAAATGACAGAACAATCAGACTTTTGTCTCGCCCCTGGTACCGGTCCACAGTGTTCACCTCCACACCAGTGAAAACAGGTGGCTGCAGCAGAGCAGAGATGCTCTTTAACTGCTGCCTGTAGGGCGCGATGACGCCAATATCACTGGGCTTACATCCAGCCTAAAAGCAGGCAAAATAAGCAGTGGTAAATGGAATATCACACCTTCTATATCTTATATCAAAAAACGATCTGTGTCCTCATTTACAGCACTCTACTAGATTTATACAAAGAATAATCTGTGCTTTTATCACATTCATACACTGAAGGAACACACATCGGAGGCAATGAGGGGTTCAGTGTCTTGCCCAAGGACACTTCAGCATGTGACTGGTGGTTGAACTGAACCCCCAACTCTCCCATTGGAGGATGATTGCACTAACCACTCAGCCACAACTGCCCCGTGCAAAGATACATAGCAGAAATAAAACAGATTATTTCATATATTGTCTTTTGAGTATTAATCAAATGTACCTTTATCAGAAGAGAAAGCAGCGTGTGTATAAGAACAGCTTCGGTGAGATTGCTCACTCCTCCCTGTTCCACCGACTCCAATGCAGGCACCTGCAGGAACCAAAAAAAAAAAAGGACTACATTCAGACATTGTTTAACAAACTGTTAAAAGCACTGCTGTTTTGGCTCAAAGACATTTAAAATCCAGTTTTACTTGTATACGCTATAGGCTACAAACCAGTGAGCAGTCCAGGAAGCAGACAGGATTACTGGGCAGCAATGTGGCCTGTACCCAGGACAGGTCAAGCTCAGGATGGGACTGCGAGTAAGAATCTAGCTCTGACTGGACGGAGAGCAGGAAAGGCAGCGTGAGCAGAGCCGTGGCCGTCCTCTCTGATCCACACTCCAACCGGCCGTCGTACATCAGTGAGTTACTCAAAGACATGATCTGTCTAGAAAAAAAAAAACAAAGAAAAGGCTGTGTTATCATATTGTACATTTTTATACAATCTCCCAGCAAGAAAAAGATTAAATGAGCAGAGAAGTATTTATTACACATAATTCAGATGAAACTGTTAATATTCTTTCCACCATAATCTGGATTCCAGACGTCTCTGATGTTGTAGCAAAAAGGGAAAAGTGGGATTCAGTATATATTTATTAAACTTCATTACTTACAATACAGTAGTCCCTCGCTACTTCGTGGTTCGACTTTTGTGGACTCGCTCTATCACGGCTTGTTTAAGTACAGTACTGTACATAATATATTTTTTAAAAAGCACTGCCATTTTTGTTTCCTTTCATTAAGCCTTCACTGTTTTGCCAGTCTAAAGAACTACATTACCCAGAAGCCATCAGTTCACTTCCCAGACGTCAACACTGCTTCCTGCTGCAAATGGAGAGAAAGTTTTGCAACTCAAAGTTAGACGTTCTGTAAGGATCAGCTCACAGGACTGGCAGGAAAGTCTCAAATAATCCTGAAGATGAACTCGTCCTTCAAGTTGTATCTTCACTGCTGAGTAGCTGCAGTCGATCTGGACTCAGTGTGACCTGGATCCTGGGAGCTGCAGGCGACAGACAGCTGCAGAGTTCAGCCTGGTTCTGGTTGCGTGGTGCTGGTCCAGACTGGGCCAGAGGTGGCAGATTAAATCCTGGACAGCGGTGGGCTTCAATCATGCTGCACCGGGACTTTTTTCCCCATCTATCAGGTCGGACGGAACTGAGCTGCTTCTGTTCTGCAGAGCCTTTGTAAGAAAAATGTTGTAGCTAATTTACATATAAGTAATGTATGTTGTTAGCATTAGTAGGTTTAAGAGTTCAGAGGACTGATTGTAGGCTTCATCGCTGCAGGATAGTCTGAGAAAAACGAACGGAGTCAGAATAGAACAGAGTTGGACCGGAACCAGAGTTGTTGCTGTTCTACAGAGCTAGTAAGTAAAATTTAGTAACATATGTTTTTAAAATGATGTAGTTTTAAGAGTTTAGAACATTCCAAGAGTTTGGAAAGGGCTTCTAAAACCTTAATATAAAGTTTAATGTATTTGAACTTGAACGTAAACTTGGGACTACCGTATTCCTACTTCGTGGTTTTTCACTTATAACGGGGCTTCAGGGTACGGATCCTGCACAATAAACGAGGGACTACTGTACCTGATCTGAACAAAAATCTCAGATTAAAAAAGACCCAGTTCCTGAAGTGTCCAGTTTCATTTCAGAGTGTACATTTATTCACCTGTTCATCCGATACTGAACATTGAGTTGAACCACTGCGTCACTGTGGAGCTCTAAGCGTTTAAACAGACTTTCATCCATCCCAAGTGACCTGAAGAGAAAAACAAATAAATAAGAATAAGCTGCCAACACTAAGCACATTCTTTTATCCTGATGCATGCTCAATAATCCAGGTAGAAAAATCTGAAAGAGTTAAGTCAGGTCCTCTGGACGGATTCTTCTTGTTGAAACGTTTCGTCTTTTAGTGTCAGTCTTTTGTCGTCAGACTGACAAAGTCTTTTGGATAAAAGACGAAATGTTTCAACACGAAGAATCTGTCCAGAGGACCTGATTTAACTTTGTTACACACTCTCGTATGCTTTCCCTGTTGGAACCTCCATTAACAAACATCTAATTTACGAACGGAGTTCTGACCTTGCTTCCTGGTTCTGAACTATCGGCGGCAGCTGCTGATGGTCTCCGACCAGCACAAATCTCCTGGCGTAGAAAAGTGGTCCGAGACAGATCGGCTGGCTGATCTGCGACGCCTCATCTACGATGCAGAAGTCAAAGCGTCGACGTGTGAAGATTGGGTGCTTGATCCCCATACAGGTGGTTGCTACGACCAGCTAAAACATCCGGTTACAAATTTAACACTTTAAACAAGAAGCCTTGCAAATGGCAACATATTTCCATCTGATGTCTTATGTGAGCTCTTTACTTCTTTATTATACAGCTGCTCCAGCTCTGACAGAGTGTGAACACCCTTCTCCCTCACACTCTCCTCTGTGTACGGCAGGATATCAGGATGAACCTGAACAGAAACCAGAGAGTTACTGCTGCCAAACAAAAGCTAAATAAAACAGATTTTATAACTAAAACATCATAGTGTAAGCTACTTGAAATGCTCAGTAACAGCTGCTAACCTTCTGTCTTTGTCCCAGACGCAGAAAGCCAACCCGGAAACGTTTAAGCTTAAGCAGGATGTTGTCCACAGCAGAGTGGGTGTAACTGGTCAGCAGCACACTAAAGCCACAGGCGTGCAGAATACGAACCTAAACAAAGGATTTATGGTGGAGAGAGGAGTGTTAAGAGTGTTGGTCTTACAGAGATCAGCTCATTTTAGGCTTTGTTTGAGGGTTACCAGGGTGCAGATGGTTGTGGTTTTGCCAGTGCCAGGCATACCGACAATCAGTGTATAGTCTTTGGACAACAACACCTTCTTCATGGCTTGTTTCTGGGGTTTGTTGAGACCTACGCAAACATACAGATAAATATAAATTCACCTTAGAGGCCTTCGTATTCTCCAGCATCAACGTGTGGCATGGAGGCTGCACAGCTGCAGAAAGAAAAACTTTGCAGAGAGTGGTGAAGGCTGCACAGAAGTCTGGTGGAGTCAACCTCCTCACCATCACAGACATCTACACCTCTAGATGCAGGAAGAGGGCCACCTGCATCATGAAGGACCCCACTCACCCAGCACACACACTTTTTGCCCCACTCCCCTCAGGAAGGAGGTTGAGGAGCATTAAGTGCAGAACCACTAGACTGAGGAACAGCTTCTACCCTGAGGCTGTTAGACTCATGAATCTCTAACCAGAATAATCAATGTGAAACATCACATCATGTTGCTGCTGATCGTTTCATGTTGATGCCGATCTGTTTCATGTTGCTGCTGATCTGTTTCATGTTGCTGTGTTCATTCATGCTCACCTGCTCACACAAATTCATGTTCATGCTGCTGTCCAGCATATTGTTTTTACGTTATTAGTGCTTAGCGTATTTTTAGTTAACGATTTTCTTATTTCATATCTTAGATCTTAGTACTGTTTTGCGTTCACATTTTATTGTTGGTTGTAACTGGGACCCTGTGTACACAATTTCATTCCACCACATGTACCACATGTAAATAAACCACAAATAAAGAAACTCTGACTCTCCGACTTCAAAAGCGACCATTTCTTATGTGAAAAATAGTGAACACTGCATGAGAATTTAAACTCAGCTGTTAGTATTTGAGGACAGATTCCAGGCATGTGTATAAAATATTGATGGGTCCAAC